TAATTTCATTGACTTTTGAACTCACACATCTGTTAGTTCTTTAGTACCCTCTCATTTCTATTACTTTCCAAGCCAAATACAAAGGCATACAAGCAAAGCATATATATCATATAAATAATGCCCTCCTGCTGCACAGGCTTTGGAATTCAATTTTTGTATGAAACACATTTGGAAGCAGGACATATTTTTTAGTTATTTTTGAGGAATGTATAAATTTTAAAATTTTATTCAAAAATGAGAGGAATAGCCAGGCACCAGTGGCTCATACCTATAATCCTAGCTACTTGGGAAGCTGAGATCAGGAGGACAGAGGTTTGAGACCAGCCCAAATAGTTCAAGAGACCCCATCTCCAAAATAACAAGAGCAAAACAGACTGGAGGTTGGCTCAAGTGGTAGAATGCCTGCTTTGCAAGCATGAAGTTCAAACCCCAGTCCCACGCCCCCCACCCCCCGAAAAAAAGAGAGAGAATAAGAACTCAACTGTAATGTAATGACTGTCTTTCACTTCTTACTTGTGCTGTTTACTCTATTTTGTGTTAGTTATAACACATTTTGTGCAGTTAAAGTCTGCTACTGCTAGGTCTAAGCTCTATGAAAGTGAGGCTCCTGTGTATCATGTGGATTGCAGTAGCAAAGTAGTTCATGAAGGAAAAAATAAACAAATGACCAAATAACCATGTTTCCATAAAGTAAATGTCACCCAGAGCCTTGCTCATCTACTTCTATATTCTCTTAACATTAAAGTGTTTCAAACAATTTACTTCAAAGATGTATTTGGTGTTTCAGCTAGTAAGACCCTTATTAAATTGAAATTAGTGAAATGATTTAAAACATTTGAAAATATGTTTAAGAGCATAAAAATAGATATCATAATCCTGAGTTTAAACTCCAATTCTGATACTTAGTGGCTGAGACATCCTGAAGAGGTCACCTAGTGTTTTTGTACTTACTTTTTCCTCTATAAAATAAAGATAATGTCTGTCTAGGGTACCTTAGAAGATTGTAATAGAAGTTAAATAAATATTTCTCATTTGCATTATAACCATAATGAGAAAGAGATCATAATAGCCTAAATTTCTCTTCTTCAGCAACAAAAGTAGCTTAAGTAAATATATTATTGGAAAAGACATGTTTGAGGTGCTAAAATAATTCCTTCCTATCAATACAGAGATATCATTAGTACCAACAGTTTGTGTCAATAGCAATATTAATCACATACAACGATGGCACCAACAAAGATCCCATAAGCCTTCATAGTTTAGAGACTGCCCCCTCAGCACTGGGTGGGGGGACGTGACAGACCCAGAGGTGAGCTTCTTCTGATTGTTCAACAAGCCCTTAAGTCTCCTAAGCAATTCCACTTCTTAAAAGTGCTTCAATCAGGTGAAAATATACCAAACTGAAATGCAACTTAGACCACATTACACATTAATCCAAACTCACTGTCAAGGATATATACATTTCTGTCAAAGCCGAGCAAAGAAAATTTACTTGCAGTGACATGCAAACATAATGGTCTTTTCTGTATCTCCATTTAGCCAGTTTATGATCTTTCCTGTATCTGTCAACAGTTTTATTTTATACTTCTACTGCACATATTCTATATTAGTGAGCAGCACTCACCAGTAAATAAACTACGTGTCTACCTTAAAGTTTCTAACAGTCACATTTTTAAGAGATAAAAATTAATTGATCAAATTGATTTTAATATATTTGTAATATATACAATATATTACAACATATAATGTGTATTTTGTAATCAAAATATCATTTCAACATATAAACAATATAAAAATTGTTGAGATAATTATTCATTTTTTTCAGAATGAGTCTTTGAAATCCAATGTATGTACTGTATTAAACTAACAGCACATGTTAATTCTGACACAAAATTTCCATCAGAAATACTTTGTCAGAGCTGGGCTTCTGCCTGTAATCCTAGCTACTTTAGAGACTGATCTTGGAGGATCGTGGTTTGAGGCCAAGTAGGCAAAAATAGTTCATGAGACCCCCATCTCCAAAATAACCAGAGCAAAACAGACTACAGGTGTGGCTCAAACGGTAGAGGGCCTGCTTTGGAAGCATCAAGGCCCTGAGTCAAAACCCCAGTCCCACCAAAAAAAGAAATGTTAGTTTTTAGATTTTATGAACCTTACAGTTGAAAACTTAGAGCCACACAACAAAATTGCACCAAATAAACTTAAAGGTTTCCACAACTGGATCAAGGGCCAGATTTTAAATTTAAATGAAAATTGTAATTCCTCAGTACCATTAATCATACTTCAGGTGTTCAACAGCCACATGGGATTGGAGAGCAGGGCTGTCTTCTGAATCTATATCTACTTCAATGAAAGATAACCTTCAGAATACCTCAAATACACCCTGCCAAATGGCATTTTCAGAAATTAAATAAAAAGTGTTCTCCCTACATGTGAAACTTTCTGGTTAACATCTTTCCCCAAAGTCTTATATGTCTCAAGCACTTATTTTGAGAAGCTTATAACAGAATCATCCGCTTTAACATACTGATAAGTCTCTACATCAAATAAAACATAAGCACCTATAGGACACTTTGTTTATTTATATAAATAGAGTCAACTCTCTGATACCTGTTATTCCATTATTTTTTATTGTTATGCTGGGTGGGGGTACATTGTGGCATTTACAAAAGTTTTTACAATGTATCAAATATATCATACTTGAATTCCCCTCTTCCATGGGCTCTCCTTTATCCTCTCCTTCCCCCATTACTGGAATGGGTAACAGGTATCATTTTTGCATTTACATACATGTTATTAATGGAAGAGGAAAGGCAGGTCAAATGCCTGTATTGGTTTTGTGTTGATATCTTTATCCGGCTGATGATGCCTGCCACAACCTGGAGGGTAGAACTGGAAAGTGTCTGAGGAAATATTTTAGTTGATTTAAGCTCAGGCTTCTCTGAGCTCTGCCTTTTCTATCAATGTCAAGATACGAGTAACTTGTCAAAGCCATTCATTTGTAATTGAATTAATACAGTACCAGGAAGAGGCAATTGACCTAAAGCTAAGTAAAACTTTGCAAAGCAAGTTCCTGCCTCTCACCTACATGGGGTTAATGGTTAAGAACTTGGACTGCAGAGTCAAGCTATCTGGGTTAGAACTCTCTTCTGCCCAGTTTAACTGTGGGCAGTTTACTTAATCCTTCTGTGCCCCAACAGTAAGATGATCAATAGGACCTAAGTAATAGGTTGTTAGGAGGGATAAACGAGACTTTGACATGACACAAAACATCTCAACACACAGTCCTGATTCTGGTACATGATACATATGAAGCAATTATCACTATCATTGGTTCAGAAATCAAGATAACAATGGTAAGACATATGTTCAATAAGTATTTGTTATAAATGAACAATACATGTCCAGGCATATACATATCACATACTATAATGGTATGTGAACAAAAGCTATCTCTATCCTATATAAAGTAAGTTTAGAGAGCAGCTCTGTTCAGACCAGAGAAAATCTCTAAAACTGGTTTTTACCACAAATAAATTTTCTGTTTTCATTAACATCTTATGTTCTTTCTTCACCTTCCATGAGCAGATCTGCTCACAAAACTGCCTTCCTGAACTTCCTGTCTTTTCCTTCCCCTTCCCCTTGCCTTGATGCAGTCATTAATTCATATTTTAAGGCCAAAAGAAAGGTAGTACCAGTAAATAGGAAAAAACAAGCTCATCTAGCAACAGTTCTTGAATCCCCAAAAAGGCCGAATTAAAACTTCAAAGATTTTTAACAGGCAATTCTAAGCAGTCATAAAGCTGTCACCTCTATGGGTGATAATTTCCTTCTCTGTAAAATAAAGGAATTTAGAAAGTTTTCAAATTCATTCTATTCTTTAAATTGATTAAAGATACAAAGTATATAAACTGCCACTTCTGTTCCCAATCAAGATTTGTCACAAGATTTGTCGCTAAAATAATGATAGCAATGCCTACAATGATATCATTTTTTAAATCATCTTCCAGAAAGACCACAAGAGTGGATGATTTTTAATAATTGTGGATTCCTTGGAGGGCATCTTATTTTTGTAATCCTAAGGTACACATAAAGAGAAATGAGTTAACAGTGGGCTATCTGAGCTGTGAAAGCCACGCACTTGCTCTACCATGAAGGCTTCATTAATATTTTAAACACTGTGATGATGTTGCAATTTTCCATGAGCAACTGTCACAGCGTTCCTTCTTGATGTGTATCAAAAACAACCTAAATTACTCTGAATACTCGATATGTTATATAATTTTGATGTACCCAGTACTTCAATCCTCACAGCCAGGCACATTTGATGCTGTTACATAGTATCCACTCCGCTTAACCTTGGGATTCTTGGCCCAGTCGCCCCCATAACATTTCCTCTGGTTGAAGCGTTCTCGTCCTTCCATAGTCGCCTCCCAGGTGAATTTTGCCTTAAAGACACTTCCCCTTGCGACCCCTCTGCGGCCACTGTGTCGCGTTCCCTGCAGCTGGTGGGTACGCATCTGGTGCCAGGTGACTCTCGCCAAGCCACCCGACGGGCACCAACCTGGAGAATCCGAGTGGGCGCACGGCGGGCCCGCTGTGGCCAGCGCTGTCAGACGTACGCTTTGTCTCCTGCCTGCCTCGGAGGCCGGAGCTGAAGCACACGTATGACACACACTATAAATAATAAAAAGACACCACAGCCCAGCAGACAGACAGCTTCGCTAGGCAGAGCCAGCCCGGCGATCCAGCGAGGCCGAACCTGAGGCAACTGTCCCTAGGAGGAGCCGAGCCCAGCGGACGCCCGGAGCACCCCGCGCCCCGCAGCGGCGGGCCACCTGCAACAACCACGGCGGGGTCTCCGCGGCCGCGCGCGCCAGGCCGGCGGCACCGGCTGCCTCAGTTTCCACAGCTGGGCCGCCCCTCAGGTGACTCTACCCCAACAGCCGGAGCAGGAGCCATCCCGCAGCCCCCGCCCGCAGCCCGCAGCCCGTGCTCACCTGACAGCCACCCGTACGGAGCTCTCGTCCGCGGCGCCCCACATGCTGGCGGCGGGCGGCGGCCGGGCCCTGGGCCTCGCTGTGCACCGTGGGGCTGAGGCGCCGCCGCAGTCGCGGCGCTCGGACGCAGGAGGCTGCGGCAGCAGGGGGCGGCCGGCTCACCTCCGCAGCGCTCCAGCCATGTTGGGCTGCTGAATGGAAAGGTGGCGGCGGCAGCAGGAGGAGGTGATTCACGGCGCGCGGACGCCCGCCCCTTCTCCCCGCTCTCCCCCCACCCAGGCTCGGGGGCGGGGACGCGGCCCACTTGAATGGCGAGCGGAGCGGCGGAGCGGCGAGCAGGACCTCTGGGCGGCGGGGTAAGCGCGCCCTGCCCCCTCCGGTGCGGACGCGGCCTCCAGCGGCCGCCCGGGGACTCCACGCCCGCCGGGCGCTCAGGGCTCTCGCCCCGCACTGCGTCAGCGGCCCCGCCCCGCCTGCCCTCAGCCGGGCGCTGCCTGGCGCTGCCGGGCAGGGAGGCGCGCGGGGCACGATGCACCGCGGCTGCCCACGCCCACGGCCACCCGCCGGTGCGCCCTTCCAGACGCTGCAGCCGAGCCGCCGGTGCGCGTCCCGGCGCCTGTGGCCTTTCTAAACCCAAAGCGTCTTCCACCCGCGCTCCGGGAGTCAGCCAGCTGCTGCCCTGGTTGGGCTTTGTTCCCACCGTAGCCTTATTGTCCTGTCTTCAGCTTGGACTTTGACCCCCTTCGCTGAACGCCCTCCCTGCCTAGAGACAGTCATTCATGCTAAACTGGCTCCCCACTTTATCCCCTGTGTCTGAGCAGCTGAGCTGTTCTGCAGCCTGTCGCCCACGTACCAGCTCGTGTGGGATATGGAAATGAGTGAGACTCCTGAATTGCCTTTCTGTGCAATCATTTGTACCCTCGTAAATGAACTGAACCCTGGTACTGCCAAGTGTCCCCAGAACTGAATATCCGTCAAAAGGAATTGTGTAGTCCATCCTTCCAGACTGATTTTCTTTCCCTGCTGGCCCTCAAAAAGCGCCTCCCAGTCCCAGGATTCTATCAACATTGTTCCATTGTGGTTTCTGCTTGTCACTATTGTGCTTCCACATGCCTTTGGATAGCTCTGTGGAAACAGCCTTTGTTAGCTTTGCCACAGAATTTCTTTTGTGGACTGCCCCATACATTTCTATAAATAAACATGTGGGTTCATACAAAACAGTGTACTAGATTAAATGGCACGATGCAAATAAAGGTACTACCCAAGTATATATAATCTGAAATACACACCTAATCGTTCTCAGCAGACTGAGACTGACTGTGGGTCAGTACATTGGGAAAAAAAAAAAATGTGCTACCCCTAAATTGTCACACAACATAAATAGAAAGACCTTAAGAGGGTACAGGTGGTATCTTTCTCCACCGAGTTGGCAAAACTCGGCCCGGGCTATCCCTCTGGAGGGCCTTTCTTGGCCTCAATATCTATCCATCAACAATTTCCAGCCACAGCTCATCCTGTCCTGGCAGGTCCGTTGGTGGGTGGATCTGAACTGGCCACCTCGCCTCTTGGCTTGATAAAAGCTGCAAGAAGGCAAGAACAGCAGAGCACATTTAGCAAGAAAACTAAAAAGAGATTTGTATAATGTAAGACCTTTAAAAAAAACCTCATTTCAAATAGCACTAGTACAAATAAAGAGCTGTCACTAACACAAATGTGTAGAGAAACAGAGTGGATAACTCGAGTAAAGCAAGGTGAAAACCATGAGAAAAATGAGAAACACAGGCCCCTCCCAAAGAAGGTGGCATCTCCAGCTCTGGCTCAAAGTTGCCCTGCTGGAATACAAACCCTATGTTGCCAAAATGTTGGTTGTATGTTTGATGTTTCTCAAGTAAAAAAGAAACAATCGGATCTTTATGTGAAAACACCTTACCTTTAAACATCAACAACTAATATAATATAGCACAATATTTACATACCATGCAAATCAGTCAAAATAGGTCTCAGGCCAACTTCAGTTCCAAGCCAGCAGGCTGTAACATCTGATCAAAGCATTAGTAGCAATAATAGCTGTGGCTTTGGGTTAATATCGTGAATAGTTTCAGGAAGAGGCAGTGTAAAAATTCAAACTCCTCCTGAGTCAGGAATCTTCTCCCAAATGTCAAAAGTTGTAAAACTGACTGTTTATTCTTATTCTTGATTGCATTTATTCTGGAATCTTTTGCTGTTGTTACAATACTGGCATTTGAACTCAGGGCCTTGCACTTGGTAGGCAGGCACTCTTCCACTTGAGCCACACTCAGAATCCCTTTTTGCTTTAGATATTTTTCCATATAAGGTCTTGCTTTTTTGAGAAGGCCAGCCTGGACCATGATCCTCCTATTTACACTTCCCAGGTATCTGAGAACACAAGTTTGTGCCACCACACTCAGCTGTTGGTTGAGATGGGGTTTGGACAGCTTTTTGCCCAGCCTGGACCTGAACTGTGATCCTTCTGACCTCTGCCTGTGGAGTAGCTAGGATCACAGGTGTTGAGGCATGGCACCCAAGATATTACAGATTCCTTTATACCTGCAATAATGCCTTGCCTTATAATTCATCTAATTAATTATCTTAAATTGAAGAAAATTCCAAGGGCAATCAATGGATGAATAAAGAAAATGTATTATATATACACAATGGAGGTTTATTCCGACATTGAGAATGAAATTGGGCATTCTCATTCTCACTCTAGGGATGACCTGTTGTCATTCTACTGAAAGTATATTCCTCTCCTAATAAACTTTACTACTATTCCTCTCACACACACACAAAAAAAAATGAAATTATGTCATTTACTGGAAAATGGTTGGAAGTAGAGATTATCATGTTAAATAAAATAAGCCAGTCACATAAAGATAAGTATTGCACGTTTTCTGTCATTTGTGAAAGCTAAGGGAAAACAAAGAAAGAAGGAAAGAAACCAAGGTTATGAAAATAAAGGGGGACTACTAGGGTGATGAAAAGGAAAGAGGGGAGGGAGGAGAGAAATAAGATAGTTAATAGTGGGGTGAATATTATCAAAGTACATAATATGCATGTGTGGAAATGTCATGATGAAACCCCTTACTATGTGCAATTTAATATATACCAATTAAAAAAAAGAAAGAAAGAAAATTCCAGGCCAGGGCTTTTACTATGAGAGTAGTTTAAATCCTATTGCAATCATTCAGTCAGTAAACACTTAACATGACAACTATGTGTAAATAATTCTGGACAGTAGTGATACAGAGAAGAAATAGGACAAGGTCAGTACCTATAAGGGGCTTACTGTCTAGTTCCGGGATTTGGAAATCCCTACGAGCGATAATAGAAACTGTGACAGGAGGATGATGAATTATCCTGGAAGAGTTAGGAATTCTCCATGTATAAAGAGCATTGGATGCTTCCATGGGTCTCCTGCCTCCACACTGTAGCAAGCCCTAAGTCACTTATGTCATTCTCCTGCCTGAAACTTCCCAATGGCTACCTAACATAAATAGAGTAAATTCTTCCAAATATTAAGACCCTTTATACTCTGGTCCCTCCCAAGTTTGACTAACACTACCTTGCCAAACACTACTCCCCAAACTCTACCTTTTTTTTTTAGCAATACTGATCTTCTATTTCTTGTGCACACAAATTTCTTTCCTGCCTAGGATCTTTGGACTACCTATTCCATTTACCTAAAATGTTCTTTCCCCAGACCTTCCCATGATTGGCTCATTTTGGACTTTTAGGTATCTGTTTAAATACTGTTTCCTCAGAGAGGATTCTTGATCACTCAATCAAATATAGTGGCCCCACAAGGGCCAGCTGCATGATTTTTCACTACCTAGTGCAAAATGATAATGTGCACATGATAATCTTGTTAGGAAAGCAGAATAAAAATGCCATTACATATATGAAAATATCAAGGTTTTTCTCTCTTATCTTGTTATGATGGTTTTATTGGCTACCTAACATCATTCTCTATTAAGGAAATGAAACTTATAGAGTATTTGCACAAATCTTATCTAACATCTTTATATTGTGTTATGCCATTTTAAATATGAATACAGGAGTATTTAACACTGTAAAATCATAAGAATTATATAATTCCTATTTCCAAGTTCATGCATGCATATGTATTTCACTCTTAAGTGAACAGTAGAAACATTGCACAAAAGTAACTCAGGTGTTTTTATTTCACTTTTTTTTTCTTTTTAACAGTGCTGGGATTTAACACAGGACCTCATATGTGTTGGGTGAGGGCTGAACCCTGAGCTACAGTTCCAGCACTTTAACTTCTTGATATGCAAGAAAATAATCTATCTTGCCCTTTCCTTTTTTTTGCTCACCATTTCCAGTCAGTGGTTGGCTCCTACAGGAAGTAATTCCAATAAGAAAGGCTAAGATTGGGTCCTTTCATAGTCATGCTTTTTAGAATGAAATAGCCTTTCTCTTACACTGGAGGCAAATGCTCGTTTGAAGGAAGGGAGTCTTCTCAAGGTGTCATATCCCTGCTTCCTCAGTTGTAGAAAGAGCATGTTTACCTCTTACTCCTAACTGGCTTTGAATCTTGCTGAATGCCTCATGTATGCAGTTCACCCAGAATTCTGTGCATATGGGGAATCTTGAATGCTACCTGAGAATGTAATGTAATGGAGGAAAAGCATGTTACATATATGTATGTCCTTTGCTTATACACATGAGCCAGTGTCATATAAGACCTCACTTAACAAAGCAGAAACCTAAAGATAGTGTTGGAGAATCACAAGTCAGCCACAACAGAGCACAGGGCTTTCTGTGACTGCATTGGCCACTTGCCCATAGAGTTGGCACCGTATCCCAGATATTCACTATTACATCTTTGCTTTATTTCTTCTTAGCCTACCACTAGCTGATATTTTCTTGGTTTTGTTGTTGTTGTTTATCTTCTTCCATTTGAATATGACCTCCAAGGTAGTAAGGATTATTTCTATTTTATCCACCAATGTTTTTGTAGCTCCCCCAACAGTGTCTAACACATAGTAGGTATCGTTAAATATTAGCTGATGACTGACTTTAACCAAGATATGAGGCCTTCTAAATCTTAGTTTCTTATATGTAAATAATGTATTTCATACCTCATGGAGTTATTCTGGAGGTTAAAAAAGGTTTTCTAACTTTGGTAGCTCCCCGTAAGTGCACAATAAACTAAGATTTAATTTTATTAAAATTATCTTTGCCAATAGAG